TTTCAATTACAGATTCCTTAGTTAACTTATAAATTGAAAACTTTTTATGTAAATTATTTTAAAACAATGTATTTTATGGTTACACATTTTAATAAATGATTATTTTATCTTATACACTGTTTCGGATGTTGCATGAAGTGTGCAGAATTCATGATGTATTTAGAATCTAGCTATGTTCCCTGGAAGGACAATGATGGTGAGACAGCTTATGAGCAACCTTACCTTTAAGGATATAAGGCAAATAGTGTACATTATAAACATTTAATATAAATTCAGAATGATGCTGATGGAAGCCGACTTCCAAACAATGAAATTCTACAATTTTACACTAGAAACTAACTGCCAAGATTCATTCAGTCACAACTTCCCCTTGTAGTCTACGCAGTCACAGGTTAAGATGCAAACTGTATTCTTCAGATTATTACTCTGGTTATAGTGCATTTATTTCCCAGTTATCCACATTTTTTGCATGTTTCTTAATCAAAAGAATAATAAACACTAGATACTCATGTGTCTGACTCATATAGTGACAGTTTGTCTGATTGGCTTATCACACACCTGTCATCTTCCTTGGTTTATGTCAATTCATCAATACTTTCCCTGACTGCATCTTAAAATAAATCATGTAAATCACTACTAAACATCTCAGCATCTGTATCATTAGCTAGAAACCAACATTTCCTTATGGTTCTTGTTTCCTTCTGTTTTTATTCTGTGAAAAAGTATCTAGGCTGTGAAATATATGTGTATCATAAGTGTATTGTTGTATAAGTTTTACAAATATGTACTCTCTGTAATGAAATCATTATTTAAACACAGATTTTTACTATTGGTTCAGAAAAAATTTTAATGATGATTTACAATCCGTAGCCATTTTCCTCAGGCAATACCAGCTTTTTTTCTACCATATGTTAGTTATTCCTTTTACAGAAATTTATATGAATGAAATCCTCAATTCAGTTAAGACTTTGTCAGTTCTATTCCATCTAGTTTTGTAATAGTTGTTATAGTTGCTGAATATAGTTACCTGTATAAATATGAGAGATTACAAGCATTCTATTTATTATTTTTATTTTATGCATGTGAGTTATTGCCTATATGTATTAAGTGCACCCATGTCATGCTTTCATGCAGTGCCTGTGGAAGTCAGAAGAGGGTGTCAGATCCACTGGAACTGGAGTTACAGATGGTTGCTAGCCACCATGTGGTTGTTCAGAACCAAAACAGGTCTTCTGAAACATTAGACAGTGTTCTTGACTCCGGCCCTTATAACTCTTCTCTTGACACTGATGGATATTTGGACATTGTTTGGTCTGGGGCATATATTTGCATTCAGTAAAAGGTTTTCTGGGAACACATGCAGTAATTTCTCATGAATACTCAGGAATGGAATTCCTGAAGCATTTTCTCAAATCTTTTCCAGCATTAGATTTGAATTTGTATAGTTTTTATTATTACTTCTTTTATGTTTAGCATAATTTCATGTCTTTTTAGCTATTTCCAAATTATTCTTAGTGATATGATAAAATGCTTTATATTGAAACGAATTTTATTTAAAGTATAATTATTTCCAAGCATGATGTCGCGAGCCTTTAATCCCAGCATTTGGGAGGCAGAGGCAGGTATATCTGTCTGAGTTCAAGGCCAGCCTGGTCTACATAGTAAGCTCCAGGTCAGCAGGTCTCAAAAAGACCAAAATAAAATTAAATAATTTATCAGTTTTGGTTCCAGGCATTCATCTCTATATGCTTTTTGTTTTTTCTCCCAATCTAAGATTAGGTTATTCATTTTTTTAATTAAAATAATTTAGGGGCTCCCAACTCCTACCATATCCAGTTCCACTTCCTTACTCACCTACCTTCCTGAATTTCTTCTCCATAGAATACAATTCATGTTGCCCAAATACTCTTGAGTGTAGTACCAGCCCTACGGCTACAGGCAACCAATGGATACTGATAGAGGGAAAATCAGTTTTCTCTAGGGACTAGCGCCCTGATAAGTTATCTAACCTCAAATAGTCAACCTTCACTCATGTACACATGCACACACTGAATGGACTCAGTGCATTATAAGTGCATATTATACATGTATTTATGTATATCTAACAGTAATAATTAAAGATGAGGACAAGAAATTGAGAGGGAGTGGGGGACATGGGAAGAGACGGGAAGGACTGGGAGGTCTGGAAATGATGCAGATACGGAACTGTTGCATAAAATTCCTAAAATAAATTATTTATACAGGAATTATATTATATAAAAGCAGTAACGGCAAAACAGCAACAAAGGAAAACTGACTGTTCCTCTCCTGGAAGCTAAAGATAGGATTTTCTACATGCATGTCAGTTGAATACAGACAGTTCTGACTTGTTTTCTCCATCTTGTGCCTTTCCTCTTCCTTTTGTTATTCTAACGCATGGAATAGGGTCCACAGAATAATGTTCTTGGTGCTGGTAAGAGTAGACATCCTGCTCTTGCTTCACATCAGGACTAAAATGCTCAGCAATTTACTGGTAACTATACTAGGTAGAAGGTTTCACATGTTTTTTTTTCTGGATCTAGTACAATAGTCATATAGATATATTTCTCCTTTATGTCACTATTATGATAACTTACAGTGACTTATTTTCTATTTTCTTCTAAATAAACATTTAACAGTATAAAAAGTAATTTAATTTTTACATATATATGCCATTATACTTTTAATATTTTCGCCTCTCCACTCTGCTGCCTCTATCCCTCCCTCTTACACCACTTGACTGGTCCCCTGTCTCTTTCCAAATACTGCCTTTTTCAGGTTTCTTGCTACCCTACCTGTACTCTCTTCTCCCATTCTCTTTAGTTCCATCAATGGCTTAGTTTTTCTTCTATTGCTGTGATAAAATATCCTGACTCTAACAACTTAAGGGAGAAGAGTGTATTTAACTCAGAGTTCCAGTTAGTCCTTCATGGCAGAGACATCACAGTGACAGGAGTTTGATGCAGTTAGTCACATTCATCTGCAATCAGAAGGGAGCAATGGTTTGTCAGCTCAATACCTAGAAGGCAAGTTTCTGGGCAAACATACAGGAGATTTTCTAGGTTAATGTTAGTTTTTGAGAATGTCTCTGTGGGATTGTCTTAATTAAGTTAATTGATGTGGAAACATCCATCTTAATTGATAGTTGGGTCATTCCCTGGGTAGTATATGCTGGAATGTATAAAATTGAGAGGGACTAATTGGAATTAAGGTCTATTAAATGAGAGGAAACTTATGTGTGGTACTACAAACAACACCAAATACACATGGCTAGAGAAATCATAGATCCTAGAGAAAAACCTACTTGCCACATCCTTAGACCAAAAAATTTGTAAATATGCATCCTCACATTTACAAACAAATGCATCTCTCACCACTCATCAAAGAAGCTTCTTTCTGCGATATATGGAGACTATTACATAGTTCCACAACTGGCCAAATATGAGAATATTGATCTATGAGATGCTTAGCTCTGAGTAAAATATCTTCAATGCAACCTTTACACATAAGATGAATATCAACTCTCACCAGTAAATATTCTTTATGCAGCAGATGGCAGTTAACCAAAAACCCCACAACTGTTCAATATGCAGAGAACAAGAGGCTACAGAGTGATTATCCTTAAATAGGGCACCTATTTTAAACTTCTGCCTCTCATGGCTCAGGAATCATTGCACAACAGCAGAAAGAAACATTGTAAGGGCCAGAAGTGGTAGATGATCACAAGGAAACAGAACCTTCCAGTTCTGTCAGTTACACACATAAGTTCATAGCAATGGTGACCACATGTACAAATCCCGTGCAAGCTTAAACCAGACAAAACCCCAGCAAAGGAATCGGGACGTGTGTAAGAAACCCCAACTGAATCTAAGGAACTTTTGACAGCTGATGGCTGCTGGGAGAGTGAGAGGCAGTCTCTCACAGTGATGGGACTCTTGATAGATTAATCAGGCTCTGGTAGATTCACACTGAAGGACAGTTGGGGCACAAATCAGACTCTAGAGGAGATAGATAGATAGATAGATAGATAGATAGATAGATAGATAGATAGGTAGATAGATAGATTAGAGATAGATAGATAGATAGATAGATAGATGACCATACATTAAATTGTATGGGTTAGTAATGGGAGGTGTTGATAGAGTAGTTAATCAAATTACATTGTGTGAAAATTATATTTGTAAATATTCAACAAAATATTTTTAAATGGAGAGGGAAAGCTGAGGCTTGTGTGTGTTCACTTATCTCTAATTCTTGACTACAGATGCAATGTATCTAGGTGACAGATGCTGCTGTTACTGTGATTTCCCAGTTATCATGGGCCAAAGAATCTATGAGAACAATTTATAAAAAAAAAAGAGTGATATTGTTGTTGTGATAAATAAACCTATGTGGCTTTATGCCTTTGGAACTGTTTTGAGGGAGGAATGTGGAAGAGTCTAGAACTTCATGTTATAAAAACCAGTGAATACTGAAGCTTGATGGGCTGTTTCAGTAGAAACTAGCAAGAGTAATGTGGAAATAAACCTGGGCAGTGGTTGCCTGTCTCAGGAGATCTCATAGGGAAGCAAAGACTCTATGAGAAACTGGGGTACGGACCATTCCAGTGATATTTTGGTCAAGAATCCATCCTGAGAACTTGTGTGAAGTTGACTTTGCAGATGAGAAATGAATTTATTTGGTTGAGTGAAGGTGTGTGAGTGGGCTTAAAATTTCAGATGAGGAGAGCACAGACAATACACAGCTCTATCTGCTAAAGGATTAACCCCAATTGAGAGAAACTTGGCACTCAGCACTGAACAATAGAGAAGTTGTTCCCTCAGGGGCAGCACACAAAACTGGTACAGCTGAGGTCTGAGGTGAATGGGCCATCCCTCCAGCTCACAGCAGAACTTGGCAGCCTTGTCTGTGTGGTACTGGGTTTGAAGACATGAAAGGTAAAAGACTGAAAGTGTCATGGAGAGCAGCTATTGACAGGCATTGTGAGGCAGGGTTGGAGTCCCTGCAGAAAAGGCCTAAGAGGCTACTAGGTGAAACACTGTAGATAAAACTTGTGTTACAGCCAAGATCTCAGAATATTGGAGATGCCAGGCTCATAGGATATCTGCTAAGGGGGGCTGTAGACATGGAGTGTATTGATTCTAAGAGAGAAGTTGTGTATGCTGCAGGCAAATAGGTGGGAAGATTTGGGTTACCTAAGACTTTTTTATCCTACTTAATCTCATTATAAGCACCAGATGCTGGGTATAGTACTGGAGGATTTGGTGTTTTCACTTCTGCACTTTTGTTTTGATTTGTGTGATTATTTTGTTTTATGTCTAGATTCTTCCATTTTTCATTACAAGTGTTTATTCTGTACCATCCTATGTTGGAAGCACATGACATTTTCTTGATTTTATAGAGGCTCATAGTTAAGAGACTTTGGATTTCTAAATTGTTGGAACTGATCATGACTATAGGGTCTTTTAAAGATGGACTGAATGTATTTCATATCATGTGAGGGTCATGAGCTTTTGGGATAAGGGTTAGAATGTTATGACTAAAAAGTGATATTCTTGAATTGTCTTAAATTCTTGATGATTTGACAAAGGGTATAATTCTGATATTTAATATTAATTATCCACCTGAAACTTAGAGGCAGTCCTTTGTGCACACCTGTAAATGATTATCTAGCTTCCAAGAATTTCTCTGAGGGATGATTGTCTTGGTTAAGTTTATTGCTGTGGGAAGACCCATCTTAATCGTGAGCTGGACCATTTCCTGGGTGGTTTATGCTGGACTGTATACAATGCAGAGGCCAAGCTGAGCACTAGAGTAGATTTATTGCTTTCTGTTCCCGAGTATGGATACAATGGACCAGCTCCCTCAAGCTCCTGCCTCTGTGACTCCCTTTTTATAATGTACCTGAACTGTGAGCCAGAAATCAACATTTTCTTCCTTAGGTTGCTTTGGTCAGGGTATTTTATCACAGCAACAGGAAAAAAAATAAGAAATCCCATTCTTCCATAAATATAATTTTGTTCATCTTTACTGATGGCTAAAATATATACAACAACTTTTCATTTATGGATAAACTCCAGGTGGTATTGATGAATTTTTATGTATGTATGTTCCATACGGACTTTCTGAAATTTTTTGACATCATTATTTGGTTCATGAAGAACATTGGCCTTTTCCAGGCTTAAGTACTCATGCTGTCATTTCTTTATAAACAAGCTAGGGAATGATTTTTTTCTGAGTTGTTTTCTACAAGTTTTCATTTAAAAATTTTTTTTTCTTTCATAAATTTTTAAATTTTCCAGTCTTACGTATTCTCCCTTAAAAATTTGAATTTAGCTGTGTTTTATATTGGGAAGATTTTGTTCAGTAATTCAAATATTTACTAAAT